AGGTGCTGAGTAATGTTCATTTTATACTCAGCACTTGAAGATTGCATTGCACATGAAACTTCAAGTCGTGCTACCAGTGAAGGATATTATATATATATGAATGGATTTTTCATTTATTAATCTGACATATTTTATTTTTAGTAGATATTCATATTTTAGTGTATGCTTCATTTATTTATTAAGCAGTATCTTTATTTCTTTCCACCTACTGTCCTAAATAAAATCTTATTAGAAGAATATGCACTATCCAGCAGGATTTGAACCTGTGTTCATCATTAGATCTGATGTGCTTTGACCTCTCAGCCATGGAGTGCCTGATTGCCAAGCAAAGCTCAAATAGTACTTTTAAATACAGATTTTTTCCTGATTCTTGAAATATACATCTCTTCTGAGTTTCGTATCCAAACATAAACAAAGCAATGAAATTATATAACTGCCATGAAGAGACCCAACAGAGGATTCCTTCATGGTGGCTATATAATTTTGTAGCACTAATAAAATTTTCAAATATATATATATATATATATATATATATATATATATATATATATATATATATGAGGATATCTCAAAAAGTAAAGGCAGTTTCTATACAGCACCTTTATGTCTACTGATGAAGAACAAATGAATATGTCACTTTTCTTTTTTCCTCAGCTACCAGCGTTGATGCCTGTGAGTTTCAGGTTCCTCTTGAAAAACTAGCACATCACAATCATTACACTTTCATCTCCCCTATTTGTCCTATTTGCTGAAGTAAGTTTAGTAAACATCTACACTTAATGCTTTCTCATCAACAATATGCTATTACATTTTTACTTCTTGCAAATTAGTTTTTGCTTGAAATTTTGTGACAGGTTTATTTGCTGCATATTTATTTTAGAATATGTTTGCTAATGCATTATCAAATATCTAACCTATCAGCTGGCTATGACTGCTTCCTAAGATCAATGGTGCAAAACAGCTTTGATGAATAAAACCCGAGGGTCTTGACAAAGACCATCCTTCTTTGAACATACTGGGCTGGTGATACAGATTCACAAACAAAGAACTGTACCAAATAACAGAAACCACACCATTTGAGAACTTTGAACAGCATGAGAGCTAAAATTCTCAAAGAGAAAATAATTGCATAATCAAAATGTTGAAGGTTGTCACACTATTTCAAACAAAAGGTTAGAAAGAAAGCCCCCCTCATCAATAACAGTTGCTGGACTTGAGAAAGCAGTTTGCCTGAAAAAGTGTTTTAAGAGAAAGATTTTAGAAATTTCAACCAAAACTAGTACTGGCTGCTTGATCAATGAATGTTGAATGTTTCCTTATAGGGAAACTGCTAATATTACCATTACCATTCTCTGGCATTCTATAAGGGAAATTTTATCATCAGCAGAGTTACTAAACTTGTCCGTGGTATATGGCAACTTACCCTGGTGCCTCTGCTAAAATACACTTGCTTTCACTATATCGATTTTCAAAACTTTACTGATGCTATTTGTGCTTGCGTGTAGTTTTATGCCACTTCCAGGAATACTTATTTAGCTTTCTCCTTGTGAATATTTTTTGTTTAGTTTCATAGCCTTCATTCATTTATACGCAATGCATCATGGCATATTACAAACAAGCGAGCAACATACTTGTGAGCAATCAGAAAGAGACAATTAAAATTTGTAGAGCACATAATGAGGAAAAAGGGTTTGGAAAATTCAATACTCCCAGCGCATCTTGAAGGCAAGTGGAACAGAAAAAAGCAGTGCATAACCTACCTAACTTTGGAAGAACAGGTAAAGAGATAGTAAAAAAAAAATTTACTGAGCTACAAAGGACAGGAAATTTTAGTGAGACATAATTGTCCACATCCTGAACATACACAACACACAGAAGAAGAATACTGTATTTGTTGAAGTTGTATAGTAACCAACTAAAAAATGTGAAGCCCATCTGTTTTAGAGCACAAGGAAAAAAACTCCAAAAATTAAAAGAGTTTTTGGTACTTGTGGGTTATTTGTTAACCCTTTTTAAAATGTGTTTCTTGTGGGTTATTTGTTAACCCTTTTTAAAATGTCTTTCTTGTGGGTTATTTGTTCCCCACTTTTAATTTACATATTGATGATCTTTTATAAAATTAGATTTGGTATTTAAAATGGTTTTTAATTGTTTTTTTCTTTTTTTTGTTCAAACTGCTAAATGAATTTTTGAACTAATATATTTTTACACATTTATATTTGCACAAAATTTGGAAAATTAATTTAAAAATGGCAACAGATAACCCAAAAGTACTGATTTTTTTTTGAAAACTAATCACAATAACTTTTGCATCTTTTTTAACCATTTACAGTAACTTTCATGACAGAACATAGGAATCCCCTTACCCGTGAATAGCTGAAGAAAAGGACAAATAAAGCAGATCTGTGCCAACACTGAAACGAATGAATAAGGGTTCAACTTTTCTGTCTTGCCAGCACCTCAAGGGTAAGTAAAAACAGAAAAAAATGCTTGAAGCCATTTCACATGAACTTTTATAATCATTTACTTTCCTCATGTAAAACTCTTATCTTCTTAGAAGAATTTTACCAATTTTTGCCAAATATTTCTTATATTTACAAGAAGAATATTGTAAGTAATGTAACTCATTTCTGAATTATTAAATGTTGATATTTCTACTTGTTAATAAATCGAGTAAAAGAAAGTGAGAAGAAAGGACTAATCATCAACTGTAAGAAGACAGAATGCCTGGTCATTAGCAAAAGGACCAATCCAAAATGCAAGCTACAAATTGGAGACGTCAAAATCAAGCAAGTACAGAAATTTTGGGCAGTGTTATATTAGACAACAGAAAATGGGATACAAAAATTTGAACATGCTTTGGAACAGCAAAGCTGTGTTCCACAAGCTAAGCAAAGCATTAGGAACTAGGAAAATTTCATTAGAAACAAATAAAAGAATACCAAATTACTATATAATATAAATCATCATATATGGCAGTAAAGGCTGTACAATATCCTTGTAGATGAAGAAGAGACTTGAAGTAACAGAGATGTGGTTCTATGATAATTGCCATTGTTCCCAGGTCCACTCTGACCTGGGAGGTAGCACCTGTTAGGGTCCCAGCTATGAGCAAATAGTGAACCTCCAAACAAAACACTATGAAAGTATAAAAATACATTTTTATACTAAAAATACCAGCAGTAAATTTTTTTATAAAAATTACCAACAATACATATTTATAGTAAAATTACTAACAATATGCATATACTAACAAATTATAGCGACTTCAACCAAATCCATTTAAAAGGCTACCAAACAACTAACACAAACATAACATTAATACGTATAATATCCTACAACTTCTTAAAGAAATTTTTGTGATGTCAACGAATACTCTTGTCACTTTCATAATGCTCGTTATAGTAGAGACTTTGTAATCGCAGATACAACTATAGTAATGCCATTGAATAATACTGGTTTCAGATGCCTTTGACTAACACTCACACTAATAGTACTTGCTCGATAATATTCGCTCGGAAAGTAACCACTGAATAGTAATCCGTATAGTGATCAGTATAGAGAACAGCAATCTGTATAGTAATAGAGGATAGTGTAGAAATGGTGATCAATTAGATGCCACGCTAATTCACATATATACATTTCCTCTGCAATTACGTAATCTACTTGTTCCAAATGAAATCGCCTGAGTTTTCTCTCTGGTGATCCGTGTTCAACTCCAGTGTCGGCATTGACACTTTATTCCTATGTACCAGAAATCAAACTGTATTCCAAAATATAACTTCAACAAAACTACAACATATATCACCATCTCTAGTAATCATGTCCACACAAACATGTATATACACAAAAGCTAAGTATTATCTACTATGTACTCAACTGTGAAAACTGAATAACCTATATCATATTTGTATTATTTCAAAGCTCCCAAGAAAATTCAATTTTGTCATTAAATGACCCATAAGGAGTTGATGTGCCATTAAACAGACAAATCAATCAATCAATCATATACTCTGGAACATGTGAACAATGAGGAAGAAGTTTTAAGGAAAATAGAAACAAAAAGGATATTTAGAAGCAAAAAAGAGACAATTGAAATTTCTGGAACGCAAAATGAGAAAAGAAGAATTTGACACTTACTAAAGGCAAGAGGAAAACAAGCTTGTGTAAATGGGCAGCAGTGTAGGGACTAGGAGGGATAGTAAAGAGACAAATGTCGCTTAAAACTACAAAAAATAGGAAGTTGGAGAGAGTCATAATCGTATGTAAATGATTTTGAACACACTTCTCTTATTCTTTATATTTCATAATGAACACTCCTTGCTAGCATTTACTGCTGTAAAGAAGCAAAGTGGCAACATAAACTAACTTTCTTGCAGTACCAGAGAAAGATAACATTTCTTTTAATTATCTGACAATGACATCTACAATTACACACCATGTGGAGAGATCGCTATTCCCATGGTTAAGTTTTCAGATGAACTACATTCTTTAGTTCCACCAGTTGTAACCTTTATCACTAATGGATATTGCAGTGACCCACCTTCATTCTTTTTGGATTCCATTGGTGAGATGTATTTTCCATTTGAGCAGCTTCTCACAAACCAAGCTTCGTAGAGCTATCTCCCAAGAGGATACTTTCCAATCACTTAAACTGGTATCTTCTCCACATATCCCTATAAACTGTGCCATTTACTCCATAACCCTACCTCGACTGGCTCTTGAGCCTTGTACAGGGTGAACATTATTTTAAAAAAAAGATAATACAAAACAATTGAAGACTCTTCTAAGGACATGTTCCTCTTTCTACTTTTTTAATCGTATCACTCCATGCAAGGCAATAAAGCCACTAAGACACAAGTGTGTGAAAGAATAAAAAAAAAGAGAAACATTACTAATGAGCTAGAACAATAGACAGTAGATAGCGATTGACATTGCATTTAAATTGTTGAAGATTAAAGTTGGCTAAAAACAAGGAATTGGAAGAGAGTTCCACAAGCAAAAAGTGTCATTAACTGTTAGAATAGAACTTATGGTTACATTTATCCAATTCAACTGTAAATTGAGGAGACCTTGTTGCCAAAACTAGTACTGTGCTTAAATTCATAATGTCTAGGTACCATAACAGAAAGTTCATAGATTCTTTAATATAGGCTTTGCTATTATTTATATGTTTCACACTTTCCATCATCTGCTATTAACCAGATAGTTACATTTCTGTACTGATGATGCTTGATCAACATCCCCAATATGTAACTCATACTTTGGATTGTCTCTTTTGCTGGCAACGATGTATTCTCACACAGTTAATAGTCAGTCCTTTCTTCTTTTTCCCTTTACTGTTTGTCTAATACTGCATTCATATTATCTAAGTCTGCTCTCAACAGAGATTAAATCTACAAATTATAATTCTTCCTGTTTCTACATTAGTTAGTAAGTTTGTTAACATGTGCATTACGCTGTGACATTAAATCAAATGAATAATGGACTTCTTCCCATGGATCTCTGCTTTGTGGAATCGACTTCCAAGAGGATGCTTCCCCGATCACTACAACCTTAACCTGTTCATCTCTAGGATTAACTGTTTTCTTCCCCATATATCCCCATAAACTAGGCATTTCAATCTGTAACTCTCTACCTCGACTGGCTCTTGAGCCTTATACAAGGCGAAATTTACTGTAAAAAAAAAGAATACACTGATGATGTCAGATAATTAAAAGACCATGTTTGCCTCAACAGAATTAGCAAATTATGTTGCTTTAAGTTTTGTGTACAAGATTTATTAATACTGGTTTCCATATTAATTTCTACACTGGGTCTACTAAAAGGATTGTTTTGATAATACCATATGTGCCAATTTCATTTAGTTTATAAATTTATGTCCGTGTGAAATATTACATCCACAAGTTCGTCTTTTAACTGTATTAGACATTGAGATGGAGGAAAAGGAAAAAGGTGTGGAGAACGGAAGAGAAAGAATAGTGTATTTGTCTTCTTTTTTTTTTTTCCTTAATGAATATTTTATATAAACGAGCAACACAAGTTATTGTTGCTAGTGTGTGTGTGTGTGTGTGTGTGTGTGTGTTCCTATTTGCGTCATCACGTGTAAGTACGGTCATTCACTGAGCACAGCTGATATTCATTGCTGTCAAACCAAAATAGACCAAATGTACCGAGAGAAAAAGAAAGGAACGAAATGATCGTGTGAGAACGAGACACAGATTCAGAGAATTTAATTCTGTGGTTGGTCAGTCTCTCATCACGTCATAATTCACACCAGTTTCATTGGTTGGCTATCGTTTATTTCTCTCTACGCGGAACTGTGATTTTTTAATCATATCTCACAAGCAGAAGTATTTTTTCTGCATGCCCACAGACCGATGCTGTGTAGTGTAGTGATTCTCAACGTAGGCGATAATGTCCCCTTAGGGGCGTTCTGAACTCTCAAAGCATTATCGGATGTCACTATAAATTTAACAAGAACGGTAACCGTTTGAACTCTGATTGGACCAAGTCAAAACATTTTATCTACGTATTTGTTATCGTTTTAGAAGAAGAAGAGTAATAATTAGGGAGATTTTAATAAAAGAGGATCGGGAAAAAAAGGGTCAACAGGTGTGGATTTAATAAACAGGATGGTCTTAAGAATCTCAGGGGTGGTAGGGAAAATTTTCTCAAATAAATAAATAAAATAAATGTGTTACTACTTCCATATTAAACAGAAACTCAAGAGTCAAGATTAACCCATCGCCATAATCTGATGAAACTATTTCAATCTTACTAAATCAAAATTTGAAAACAATCAGCTCAGCTATAATGAAAAAAAATAATTGTAATTTCACACTTTAACTCTAAAAGTTTAATTTTACAATCAGATAAATAAAAGAAAAAACAAATTTAAATTTTTAAACTCTCTACTCATAAAAGGTATAAAAGATCACAGAAATTTTAATTGAAATTTTTACTGAGGAACACGTCCACCTCTAACTGAAAAATGAAAATGCTGGATCCGCTTCTGGATCTAACTTCCCAGGATGATCTACCAGAAGAACGCATTACTAAAAAATATGTGACATATGAGTTGAGAAAATTCTCTATATATTTGTAGGTCTGATGAATTGGATCGTAATTGCGATTCCAATGTAATAAATTATATAACCATGGAATATTAGTGTTTAAGCCTTTTTACGAAATAAAACAAGAAAAAGAAGTGGCCGTTTTTATATTAAAGTTCATAAACAAATAATACCATATGATAAAAAACTAAAGAAAATTCAGTGTCTGTAGTTGAATATCATTCAGAAACGCAATAAGTAAATTTTGGGCATTGGATCGCATAATTTTCCAGCAAATTAAATCTAGATGAGATTGTAATGAAATGTTTGGACAGGTACACCTCTCATTTTTTCTTGCCCTCCCCACCTTTTTTTTAAGACAGATCACATATTTAAGAAGAATCATGCACATAGATAACATACTTTAAGAAGCATCAATTACTTT